CCTCTTCCATGATAAGCAACACACCACAAATAGTAGATTCAGTACTGCAATATCTGATGTGACTGAGTGATTTCTAGGGAGACAATTACAGGGACAGAAGCTGGGGCAATGGAAAGGCCACTCTATAATAATTTTATTACAGTAATTACCATTTGAGTGGCTAACCTCTATGTTAAGTTTCAGCCCACCATGATTTCAAGCAGCTGAGATAGTAAATCCCTGTATAAGATGGTTCATAATGCAAATATCAATGAATACTTAACTAGAGTAGATTGGTCCTATCAGGTGCCACAGTAGTATTAAATTATGAAGTAATGAGTTGTATAATATCTGCAGCTCAGGTTGCAAAATGCACTTGATCTCTGCCCAAAGGCATGCTACATCATCAGGAAGGAAGGGACAATGTGCCCTATTTAAAGAATATCTGGAAAGAAACTGCCAGGATGATAAAAAAAATCCTTCAGTGCAAGCAATGATGCAAGCTCATAATTGACCTAAAAAAATATGAGAAAACAAACCAAGAAAAGTCTGCAGTAAAGGTCTGAATTATTTTGTTCTGTGGTAACAATAAGATAGAAGCATAAAATGAACACTTACAATTCATTATGACATGAAAGCATGTTCTAGCATATTGCCACAACTGCAATATTTCAAACAAATGAGGGACTGAAGTTCAACTCTCTCCTCTTGTATGACTACCAAGGGTCAAAAGTAAAGAAACTGAAGATCAGTAAGCTTTTCCCAACCATCTGCAGGGTCAGTAACTAATGGCCCATGGACTAGATCCAGCCTGTGGAGCCAGAGGGTTTTGGCAGCGTTTTAGCAACAGCGGGGGGTTTCAGCAGTGTTCTGGCAGCCAGGACCTTTACCTGCACCTTGGCTGGGTGATAGCAAGAAGCTGCAGCAGTGGCAACAGGCAAGTCACAAGTGCTGGTTGAGCCCTCAGCCCTGAGCTGGGTTGTTTTGACCTGCCACATATTAACTGTCGCCAACCTTGATGTATAGCACAACGTACAACTTAAATTTCATAGATTTTCACAGTTTCATAGCGGTTAGGGTCGGAAGAGACCAATTAGATCAAGTCCGACCCCCTACCCTGGGCAGGAACGAGCGCTGGGGTCAGATGACCCCAGCCAGGTGTCTGTCCAATTTCCTTTAAAGTACCTTCAAGGAAGGGGACAGCACCACCTCCCTTGGAATCTTATTCCACATTTTGGCAACCCTCACTGTAAATAATTTTTTTTCCTGATGTCCAATCTGAATTTGCTCTCTTCCAGGTTGTGGGCATTATTTCTAGTTACCCTGACAGGCGACTGGGTCAACATTGTATCTCCTATTTCTTACTACCTCCCCTCCCCACGATGAGTTTGTAGGCAGCCACAAGATCACCTCTCAGTCTCCTTTTGCGGAAGCTGAAGAGGTTCAGGTCTCGCAATCGGTCCACATAGGGTTTTTTCTTTAGGCTTTTAACCAGACGAGCGTCCCTCCTCTGAACCCTCTCCAGGCCATCCACATCCCTCCTGAAGTGCAGCACCCAAAACTGGATGCAGTACTCCAGCTGAGACCTAACCAATGCCGCATAGAGGGGAAGTATCACCTCCCTAGACCTGTTTGTGATGCACCTACTTATGCAAGAAAGGGTGTAGTTAGCTATCCCTTTCCTCAGTTGTGCTACTTAGAGTGGTACTCCCAGGCTGTAGGAGTGTTGATGATTCTTCCTCCCCAGGTACAACACATGACACTTATCCTTGTTAATCTGCATCCTATTTTGTCAGAGCTCAGTGGAAAAACCTGTGGAAAAGCTGAATATGGTTGTACTTGAAATATATATTTTGGTAACCTTCCTAAGAGTCTGTGTTATCTGGATAAAGCACCTAATGGCATAGCAGCAGTGCAGCATGATCTAATCACTGAGAAATGTAACTCCTCTGGGCCAAATTCCATTCTCCATACTTCTGCGGCCCCTAACAGAATTACACATAAGACGGGTTTATTTGGTTAATTACACCTTAAGTAGTAACCTAGCCACATGTTCAATCAATGAATGGTATGATACAACAAGGAATAAGCCACAAAGTTATTACACAAAAAATGTGTAATAACTTTGTGGATGGTTCCTATCATGACTTCAATCAAATTCATAGCCAGTGCCTAGCCTCTGGAGCACACAGGAACCTTTCAAAACTCCTGTGTGTTCCAGATGCTGGAAGGCCACTCAGCTGATTAGGGCTCCCAGCCTCAAGAACACACCATGTACTCCCATGGTTGGGAATCAAGCTTGCTACTTGTTGGGGCAGGAGAAGTCCAGCATCATGCTCTCCCTGCACTGGCAATATGGTGCAATGTGATCTGATGTGACATCCAATAATGGCACTTCCTGCGATGTGCAGCACATCAGGAAGTAAAATTGTTGGGATCACACATCAAACCCCATAACATCTTTACTTTAGGTCACAGACAGAAATGACAATTTTCATTCAATCTGGCCACAGAAAGTGAGCGATGTATAGCTGTGATCAAACACAAGTATGTGGCTGCAGACCACTTTAAAAATGGCATGAGGTGTCAGATAAAGAAGTTTCAAAACTTAGCATATTCTATAACTTGTGTCTGCGCTGCCTTCTAGTCTGTCACTGTTTTCAGAATGGGAGCAAGGAAAGGGAGTGGAGGGAGTTCAGTCTGGGTGTTTTTCAGCCCCTAATGGAGGGTGGAGCAGGTATATTTGAGTGCCCCCCCCACAAGGTGGGGAAGCTCCAATTCACCCACCCCACTCTCCAGCACCAGTTGGGGAACCCCTAGAACAAGTTCCCCCTGCTCCCTTGTCCCCCTCCCATTCTGAAACAGGGACAGGCTGGAAGGGAGGAAAGGCCAATGGTAGCGTATGTAGAAAAAACATTTAAAGCTGTGCCTAAGGCCAAATCGGTGATTCTCTGAATCGGAATCAAATCTTCAGATTCAGATTCGGCCGAATTGAATCAGGACAGTAATCTGAATCAGCGAATCGATTCACTGTATGTTCATGGAACTGGGGCCTCCACTGTAAACTCTTTAGTGCAGAGACTATTTCAGTATTAAAGGGAATCTCACTAAGGTACATATTAGGCATACTGTGACACTAATATTCTAAGTAAAAATAATTATAGCTCCCTTTACTTTGTTGTTCTCCTCTGTAAAATATGGATTATAATATGTACTTATATAAATATTCCTTTATTGTGGTATTTTTGCTGCTATCTTACTCTAGTATGGTCGGAAAGCTGAGATTTGACTTAGTTCATAACTTCCACCACAACCATATGTAAGAGACTTGAGTATCTATTTAGAGCTCTCAGTTTGAATCAGTTAAGCATCCTTTCCATAATAGATGGAGAGCCATAGGGAATGGCAAATTCTTGCTTCATGTTTATGAACTGTACTCTAATCCCTTACTAAAAACAGCCTCTCTTTCTAAATCAAAAAATCCCTGCAGCCTGACTCTGAAAGAAAGACAAAAAGACAGATTAAAATTAGCTATGGTGACCTTCTGTATTAAGTTCAAAAGAGAATTTATATGGACTATATCTACAGTAGGTATAAATCCCCCCTGACTTTATTGATTTCCAGAAAGTGGTACTGATTTTTTCACTAATCAAGCATCATGGGTGATACATGGGCCCACTGAAGTCAATGGGAGTTTTGTCATTGACTTAAACAAGATCAGGATTACATACTGCACACAATACTTTTCTGTTAATATATAGTTGATCCTCCCATCCTGTATAATAGCCATAGGGCTCTGTGAAGCACTATGCCACTGCAGTGGTGACTTAAATTCAAGTCACAAAAAGAACAGCATCTCCATTATCTGCTAGAATTGAAATTGATAGTGAATCAAGAATGTACTGCATACCTGACACAGTCAAAAGTGGGTATAGTATATGCTACACACCTGTGTTATAAGTTTAATTATAATGTGTAGGGAGGGAATGAATGGATATCCTGTTAATGGAGAAAGATAGGGATAAGTGTGCAAATGTTTTTCTATTTTCACTTCTCTCTTCTAATAGTAAGATTTATATTATGTTTTCTAGGCATGTTCAGGTATATCTTGATACTGTGTGCACAAGAGAAGCTCTGTGTGAAACCTGTAGCCTCATTCAATTTTTAATTACATTTTTACTTGTAATTCACACTGTGCTTCTGCTGCTATCGAGGAATAATAGGGAAGCCCTCCTGTGGCTATTTTAACATGTTTAAATTCCTGTGAAGTGTACCAGAAGTCTGTGAATGTTAGTGAAGGATGTGCCTGCTTTATATTTTCAAAGACTGCTCCTTCAAATTCTGTTAGAATTCTACCCTTTATCGCAATGCCCATTGTCTCTTTCTGGTAATTAAATTATAGTTTTATTTATTCTAGCTATTTTTGGATTTCTAGACTGTCTTAGTTTGAAAGGTTATAAACACTTGAAAAAGCTCTTTAAAAGGGAAATGTTCTGTCATGTTAAGTGATCAGTGGAACCTGCACTTTCACCCAGGCTCTCTTATACTTTTAAAATCTCTAAGTGGCATTTGGGCTTGGATGCCTAAGCCCATGTCTTTGTGGCTTTCCTGCCAAGCCTGGGACTGGCATGAGGAAACAAGCACCATTTATTTACTCCCCTCCATGCTTGCTCAAGGCTGGATATCTGGCACCATGGACTACTTAGAATGGTCCCAAGTACCTGACAAATCCTAAGTATCAGGCAGTGTTTTGTGGGTTTAGTTTAATGCAACCCTGACCACATGCCCAGAGTCTCTCTGTCATGGCAATGCTTCTTGACATGTGTTCAGGCCTGGAGTAAGCCAGCCACACTACCTAATTTTTATAATTTTGGACATGCTGACTGGGAATAAGTAGGTATGGCACCCTTTTCAGTAACATTCTGGTCTTGCCATGGAGGCAACATAAATATGAACTGGCCTTTTAGTATTGGTAGAAGTGTATAAAATCTATGAAGTTCAGTTGAATTACTTGTACTTACAGCTAAGTATCTGCTGAGCTGCTTTGCTGGATATAGGCTTTAATGCCGAGAACTTGGGAAGAATTCAATTCTTCTAGAGCACCTGTAAGAAAAGAAGTTTGGTTGTTTTTTTTTTCACTTAGTCTCTTTTGATTAGGAAATAAAACTAAACCTAAAATCTTAACTGGGTGGCAGCTGTGCCATATTGGATTTCAGAAAGCATAATAAATTGCAGTATGCTACATTTCATACAACAAGACCATATGGACATTAAGGTTCACTGCATTGTCATTGATCTAGTGGCCTCTGACAGAGTTACTCTGAAAATACTTCATCATCTTTAGTTTCCCAAGACTGGAAAGTTAGGCACCAAGACCAGTTATCTTCTTTCCTGACAGTCTGAAAAATATTTTAGGAAACATAGTTCCCACATCTACAAAATTTTAAGGTTCATTCTCCTAACCACATTTTTTTAAATGTAACGTGCCTGAGCTGCCTGCACACAAGGAAGCAGGCACAGTAACTGCATTTGCAAGATGCACAGATGTATGCAAAATACCCATTTCACATCCATAGTTTTCTCTTCCGCAGTAACAAATATTAATGTAATACAGACAATGATCAGTTTGCCCTGCCCCTTGGTTAATAGCCACTAAAGTTTTCCCCTATTTGGGTCCTTCCCTGTTCTTTCAGTACTTCAGTTGGGACTTTTCTTTTCCATGTTTGTCTTCTTCCCATTAAAGAGGTTGGCTGCTTTCTCCACAGAGGTTGCTTTTGTTCCAAGAAAGATCATCTCTAGTCCCAATGAAAGCTTCTTCCGGCCCCCTCCTTTCTTGAGGGACGTCTTCATTAGGAGATTCTCCTGTAGCTTAAATATGTTCTTGAAATCATACTTTCTGAATGTGAAATCTCCATTCTAAGGGGAATAAAATATTTCAAATAATGCCTCCTACCCTGATTTAATTCTGTAAGTGTCGCCTTCTAAAGAATAGAACAAGAGCAGTCAAGATAATCAGACTGCTGATGTGACCAGAAAGGTTTTCAGGATAAAAGAATTAATGTCATTCTTGGCATCACAGTCAAGGTAAAAAAAAAAGATATTATAATAGTACCACTTTCTAATGGGCTCTGTCTGCCAGATGTGAATAGTACTGTAGACTGTTTTATAGAACACA